AAATAATACCAGTATGCCAAATACAGTCAAATACTTTCGAGATATCCAAAGCAACAGCCCGAGCTTCACGATTCTTATATATGACGCCTGATGATGACGTTTAGCATGAAACATTCTGTTATTCTGAGTGTTGACTGCAATATTCACTTTTATATTTATATACGCTTTATCTCTGATATTGAACACTTTATCCCATAAATATAACAGAGCTTAAAATTATATTGCTTTATATATATATATATATATATATATATATATATATATATATATATATATATATATATATATATATATATGCATGTGTTGCATGTGTGTCTATGCCTTAAAACTTATAATATCTTAGTGTCAGAAAAATCTATGCAACCTTTTATAAATATATCTAACACGTCGATTGCCAGTGTTCCCTTGATCATTTTGTTAAATCGATATAGTCTTTAAGTTGCCGTGATGCTTTTCATTTGCAATTTCATGGTTTTAACCTTTATCAAAGAAAAGGCGCCCACCAGCGCATCGTCAAAGCAAAATAAAAATAAAACTTTCTGTATTCAGGTTTTATTTATAATCTGAGTTTAACTGAGTTGGGAGAGTCAAAGCCTCAGTCAAAGAAGACACTGGCTGGGTAATTTCATTATGTTTGCACAGGTTCCATTCTAGGCTCTCTTTAGTAACAAATAAATCTAAGAATAACATTTTAACGATTCCATTCGAATGTCTGAATTATTTAGTATCTACTTTTTTGTCAGTTTTCATTTAGATTTCCTGATCTACGTGACGCGATACGAACGATGTTTTTTTTTTAAACCACTTGGTGAGCTATTTTAATTGCAACCAAAGAAATTTCGGCAAAGCGAGAAGACACATACCAAAACTTCTCTTTATATCGATTTTGAAGCTGATCCGTAGATTATAGAATACACGAAAAAAAAAAGATAACCATACCTATCGCAGGTTGGGCTGTAAGAAGAATGTGTTGATCTCTAACAATGGAATCTTAATTCATAGACAGTTTTATTACGTTAAGTATTTTAAAATTCACAGGAAGAAAATATTTCCATTATATATTCTTATACACACAACACGAGGCACACACATATATATATATATATATATATATATATATATATATATATATATATATATATGTGTGTGTGTGTGTGTGAGAGTGTGAGAGAGAGAGAGAGAGAGAGAGAGTGTGTGTGTGAAGGGGAAAGAGATAATATGAGATAAAGTTATAAAGACAAAAGAATACGCTATGCGTTTGGATATGTTTCACATTTGTCTATAACGTTTGCAGATATATTTTTAGTTCTATCTCACATTTACACACACATACATATATATATATATTATATATATATGTGTGTGTGTGTATTAGATAGAGATACTATATGCGTGTGTATGTGTAAATGTGTGTGTATGTATGTAAGATTAATGTGAGTAAAATTTGTCACTTAGCGGATTGATGTTACCTTCAGAATACCGACTCTAGTTACATTGCATTTCTTGCCTCATTCAGTTGTAACATACGGAAAAAATATTCGTGAATATGAAAGGATTATCATAAAAATAAGGAGACATGATGTTTGTAATTTATTCAATCACACACATACATATAGGGTGCGATGAGTAAATTGTAACCATTTTATATTTTTAATTTCGTGCATGCACGTTGATTGCTTTTGATTTTGTCGACAGCACAGGATATTAGGGTCGGTTGGGCAATTTCCATTCTGTCTCTATTTTCTTCAAAGCTTCCTTGTTGCTTACTTGCTCCGTTCATAGAATTTCCAGTCGACATTTAAAAGGATGGATATCACATAGCAATGCAGTAATCTTTTGTTTGCTTATATTTTTTCACGTTTCTAAACATATTACTTAGCTTTTGGAATTCTTATTTCACTAGTTTCGGGACTCAATATGGCATTCCCATCTTCTGATAAAATGCTTTCCAGGTATTTTAACTTCTGCACCATCTTGATGTTTATATTTCCAATTCGTAACTCTTATCTTTAGCTTTTTTCACTTGCTGCTGACTATATTTGCTGTCTTCTTGCAGTTGATGGTTAATCTTTTTATCTACCACACTTTCCGAATAGGCCATCAACACAATATCATCTGCTTATTTCATATTGTTCAGATTACCCCATCGATAAAAAATCCTGGTAGAATCTCCAGTTTGTATAAGTTCCATCGGTGTCAGAATTTAATGTTTCATCCCGGGTGAATTTATAATCTGGTTGTTTTTCTATCCAGTGAATTTCTAATAGATGTTTATCTCTCATGAGGTTTAAATTTTTCCATTTTATGACCCACATACGCCCAAGTAAAGAAAAGAAAGATCCTGGCAAAAGCTTATTACTGAGAAATTTAGTGTATAATTTTCCTGGTTTTCTCTCATCGTTTTGGTGTTTTGCCAGAAAAAAAGACCTATGCTTTATATACATCTATGAAAGTAAATGAAATATTTCAAATCCAGTAGATCTTTCTAATATAATTCATTTAGTCTTTTGTAGGATGAAAAGACTTACCATTCTTGTGATCTAATATTTACCTAGACATATCCTAAGCCGAAATAGGCTTGCTAATTACATGAGAAATACAGTCACATACTTGTAAAATATACAAAATTCGTGCAATTAACGACAGGATAATTAAATTTGTTTTCATAAAAACGTATTAGCTTTCATGCTTACGTAAGCGTCATTTGCAAGTTTTCCCGCCTTTGTAAACGATATTTACAGCAGTGAATGTCTATATATATCGTCCCCCTGTCAGGGTTGCTAGGAAATGGTGGAATAAGATGGAGACGACGAAAGGGTTGCAGGTTATCCAAAAATAAATATATTAGTCAGAGATCACGGAATGCCTAAACGGAGCTGAATAGGTTTCAAGAGTGTACATGTTTCGATGGGGAAATACGATTTATACTGAAAAAGAAAGAAATTGAAAGAGAAAGAAGAAAGAATGGAGCAATGGTTAGAAGAAGGGTTCAGAGAAGCAGTGGTTGATTAGAAAAGAAGAATATTACGACTTGAATAAGAAAGAAATAAGTTTTCTATAATGAGGAAAAGCTCAAGAATTAGAACGCGAATCAAAGAGAATGCGAAGAAAACCGTAAGGCGGCATGATAAAGAATTTAAAGGAAGAGAATGGCAAAAGAGATTAGGCAAGAGAAAGACAAACTTAATATATATATATATATATATATATGGAAAGATAGCAAATAAAAATTAAGCATGGAGAGAGTGAAGAGAATGAGAGAGAAAAAAAGATGAAGTAGAATATAAACAAGGTAGGCGAGTAGAAGAAGAAGAAGAAGAAGAAGAAGAGGAAGAAGAAGAAGAAGAAGAAGAGGAAGAGGAAGAAGAAGAAGAAGAAGAACAACAACAACAACAGAGCCAGAAGAACAAATAGAAGATTAGAAGAATAGAGCTAAGAAAACAGGAAAGATGCTGGGATAATATTTCGAAGAATCTGAAAGAGGAAGAAATGTTTGTGAAACCGAAGTCGATGAAGATGATAAGAAAAACGAAAGAGCTGTATATGCGTTTAATTAGATTATATAAGTGCTAATATAATGAAAAACAAAATAAGCAGGACAGAAGAAGAAGAAGAAGAAGAAGAAGAAGAAGAAGAAGTAGATGAGTGAAAGAGAACAAAGTGCGAATAAAGATGTAGAACTGAAGGAAGATAAAAGGAAAATGAAAGAAAAGAATCACAGAGATAGAGAGGAATATAGAATTGTAATAAAAGATGTAAATGAAAGAATAAGAGTCGATGAGGAAGGCATTAGAAAGCAAAGAGGGAAATTACCAATGATATACAATATACAAGAAGAAGGAGAAGAAGAAGAAGAAGAAAAAGAAGAAGAAAAAGAAAAAAAAAGAAGAAGAAAAGAAGAAGAAGAAGAAAAAGAAGAAGAAAAGAAGAAGAAGAAGAAGAAAAAGAAAAAGAAGAAGAAGAACAAGAAGAAGAACAAGAAGAAGAAGAAGAAGAAAAAGAAGAAGATGAAGAAGAAGAAAAGATTAAGTAGGAAAAGACAATGAACAGAAAACAACATTGACGTACATATGAAGTGAAAATGAAAAGTGAATGTTAAAGAATGGTTGTTTTTTGTACATTTATTTTGCACCTTCATCTTCATCAATAATTTCGTTACATGTTCTTTTTCTTCTTCTTCTTTTTCTTTTCTTCTTCTTCTTCTTCCCTTCTTCTTGTGTGCTTTACATTCCTACTCTTCTTCATCTATCGTTTTATATTTAAAATTAACTACTTCGTTTCTTTCTTTCTATGCTTTCATATTCATCTCACTTTTCAGATCAAATGCCTACTTCATATTCATCTGCTACAACCTTTCCGTTTTGTTTTTTTGTTTTTTTTCCTTTACCTTGTCAGGCCTTTCCTGACCTGATTTTTTTCTTTCTTTTTTTTCATTTGTATTATCTCGTTTTTCTTCTACTTCACACAGAAGAGGGTTGGTATCCGTCAGGATATCTTGCCCAGGGAAAACCATTGCGTGTGGTTCCCCTACAAACCTAATGTGTAGCAGGACTCGGAATTGTCATCCCCTTCCTTTTCACTCAATCTTTTATATCTTCTTCTTTATCTTCTTCATCTACTTTATATTTTCATCATATTTATCATCATCTTCTTCTACTTTTTTAGCTTCATCTTTATATTTTTCAATATTTTTCTGTATAGTTTAATTTGTTCTCATTCACCGACACGTCTTTCGCCGCCATGTTTTTAATATTTCCTTTTTATTGGTTCTCGGAGAAAACAGAAGAAAAATTTGGCGGGAAATGTATGTGAAAAAAAAAAGAGTTTAGACTGAATTTAAGATATTGATAAATATTAGATTTGACAAATTATATTAAAATTATGCAAATAATTTGAGAGTGAGTAAAAAAGAGGTGGACAAAGAAGGAGAATATAAGAGTAAAGTGTGAAAAAATGGAAATAAATTACGAAAATAAAAGAGAAAACACAGAGAAATAAAATCAAAGTGAATGAAAATGAACGGGAAAATGAAGATAAACCAGAAAAAATTGCGAAGAAAATCGAAATGGCTGGAAATAAGACAATTTGGCAAAGACGAGGAATCGGAAATATAAATAGAAGAGCGAATAAGAAAGAAAAGAACTCAAACTCCTGATATTATATGCAAAAAGCAAAACATACAATAAAGTGAATGAAGAAAGGGCAGCAGGCAGTTTGGAAATAAGGAAGAATATAACACGCAAGAAGAAAAAGAAATTATATGGCTGCAACACAAAACAAATGAATAAAAAGCGAAATGAAAACAAAGGAGGGGATAGAAAAACGCGACATTACGTTAGCAGAATGAATCATAACGGATGTTAAAATTATATGAACAGACAACAATAATTGTAAGTTGGTGTTTGTTTGCTTTGAAACACAGCAACATGGAGAGGTTGTATGCAACGAGACCTTCTATCAAAAGGAACGATGGAAGAGAAAAATATAATATAAACCAACCGGCAGAAATGGAAGCCGGATATATACTGTCATTTGTATACATCAATCAATAAATTCGAGCCAAGGTCCCGCAAGCTGAGAATTTTGAAAAAATATACATAAGGCTACGAGAAAAATGATAGAGGTATATAGAAAAAGTGGCGTTTATGAACCGAATTGGTGTGCTGCGTGATTCTATGGCAACGAGAATGGATTTGGTACAGTCACGTGGTCAGTGGATAAAACGGTTGAGGGAAATCTATTTCAACTCGGCGTGGCGTGTTTGTGCCCCTTGATGGAACGAGAATAAATGGCGACATGACATTTATAGATGCACAAAGTACACATGACGCGATGTCTAAAAATACAGACGGTGATAAGGTCAGGAAGAAAAGCAGTTGAATTAATAAGAGTTTTACTAAAAGGGTTTTAGTAATTTGAAAAGAAAATACAATTAAACTGAAGGATTATAACTCATGAGACCGGTAACTTTACTAAAATAGGCATTTAAAAGAAGTAGAAATAGAAAAGGTATATATATATTGTTGTGTACGATACACCTAATTTACATAAGAGGAGTACCGACCATATAAATATGGGTTGGTACGGGAAGACGGAAAAGAGATAGTAAGAAGAGACCCAATCCAGAGACTCTGCCCGACTGCGATTTAGTCAACCCATTATGCAGGAACAGTCTTCCCAAGAATATACCAAAACTAACTGTAAATATTGTGTACCTTTTCCTTGTTTCAATACATTTTGTTAACGTACATTTTGTGTTGTATTATTATTATTCCATGCTTATCCAAGTTTCAACAAATATATATATATATATATATATATATATATATATATATATATAATTGTCTTAAAATGTTCTTAAAATGAAACAATGCTATAGTGAGATTTGCAATCAAAAAGTGTCGTTACAATGTATAAAAATAATAATAAGACGGGGATAGAAAAATACGACGTAAAGAAAAATTGCATCAGGTGGTTTAAAAGTGACTTCAGCTTAATAAGCATAAAATTTGTCTTTCAATCACGATAAAACTTTTGCTGTTGAAGAATTAATAAAAAAATTATTTTAATCCTTCAGTAATCTTCATTGCAAACAACTTGGAAAGATTCTCTTTTGAACACATCTCGCAGTTTTAGACGGAATGAGGAAAGAGAGCTTGGAAAATGTTACACTCACAGGACATATTGAAGATAAGGTAGACAGAAAAACAACGCATAAGATATCAAATGGGTTTCTGTAAACGAATGACAGTAGAGATAGCAAAAAATAAAATTTATAAAGAGCTTCAAACGACAGGAAATTGTGGAGAGCCATGATCGCGAACGTTCTGAATGAGCATGGCGCATTGAAGAGGAAGGTACTTTTTCTTAATCAAGCAAGGTGGGAATGCCATTATACACAGGGTGTTACAAGTAGTGAAAGTGAGAGAAAAGATTGAGTATAAGGAGGGTTGAGGAAAGGGCAAAAGATGAATGGAATTCAAGAACATAGAAGATGGCGATAGACGTTGCATTTAAATATTTGAATATTTGTTTATGCCACCAGAGGAGCGAGGAAATGGACAGGAGTTTCACAGGCAAGAAGTGCGAGAAAAGAAACTGTTGGTACTGAAGTGACGGTTGCATTTAGCTATTTAAAATTTTGTGATAAAACCTGTCTATTTTGCAAGGAAATAAAGCTATGCAGACAAAGAATAGAACAAATGAACGCCAACCACTGGAAACCAGTCACCGTTGTCCTATTATCGCAGTGGTTATCAGTGGAATCGGCCGAATTCATTATGTTCACTTTTGCACAAATACCCTTGGGAAAGGTATGAAACCATCTCTTCTCCACAATATGAATAGGTTTAAGAACAAGACAGGAAATAGAAAAGGGAGATCACCGCCCCCTGTGAGATGAGGTTGAAATAATAAGCAGAGGACATCACTGGAAAATATGAAAACTTAAGGAATCAGCACATATGCTAGGCCACAAAAATCTCCTAAACTGGCCAAGCATAGATATGAATACAATATGGGAACCAGTAATACGGAGTGCTAGAGAAAAGCAATAATAACAAAAATTGCAAGATCAATTCGAAATTCCAATCACCTGAAGAAGAGTACAACTGCCGAAACGTCGTGAATATGGCAACAAAGATGAAGACAACAGTCCGAACAATGCGAATAGTGTAAATAGTAAGACAGACGTCACACTCTAGACATGAATTGCAAGTAGTTTTTAAAAAAAAGCTAAAAAAAGGCTTTAACTCCAACAGTAAAAACCTAGAGTAGCAATATCTAGATGTGTTAGGCTGTGGTCCTATGCCCCATAGTGGTAGCTAATGTCACTAAAGAAGTGACAGAGGGACTATTTTGAGTTGTTACCAGTCAATGTTACAACGACAGAAGACATTTATTGTCAAAGGTTTAAGCAGTTGAAAATCTGCTTTGTAGAAAAAGCGAAAAAAGTTGACGCATAGAGCAAAGCTAACATCAGAAAATATTGAGGATTACCGCGATGAACAATTCCCTGCAAATTATGTCACTGATTATAATTAATTAATTGATTATAATTAAATAGATCTTAATAAGTAAATTCTAATAAAACATGATTTTTTTCGAAATATTCTCTGACGTTAATTTCTTGACGAGCCGATTTTATATGTTGTTTCTGATCGCATGATTTGAAAACAAAGCAAATCATTTTAACGACTCGTGATTTTCAAAGGAATTCTTATCAACTTAAATTCTGGCGTTTTTTTTTTTTTTTGTTTTTTTTTTAAATAGATTGAATTTTCTTGAAATTGCGATCTTGCCAGAAAATAGAAAAACGGGACAGAACAGAAAATAAACAAATCCTATATAAAGAAAAATCGTTCCTTTTCAACCAACCAAATATATATATATATATATATATATATATATATATATATATATATATATATAAAATAGTAGCCAAACACATTTACATATACCCCGCTACCTATTGCACTTTCCTAGTATATAAATTAAGTATAATAAAGGAATAAAAAATAACTAATAATAATTAGAACAATATTATAACAATACATTGATGTAGACGTTGTACGACAGAACTCGATATTTCATACGAAATAAGAACTCCATGATATTGGCAATGGCTGCATAGGATATGTGACGCCAGGGCAATATAACGGTTTTGTACTGGTTACCAACCATGGCTAACGAATACGGTTTGGTCTGACGTTTTATCCATGTAGGATAGAGAAGAAATTGATTCATAAATTTCTCAATATTATTTGCATAAATGTGAAAACGAAAACGTTCGGTCGTTCCCACGTTTCGTTCTGCTAACAATTATGGAAACTAGGAAAGCAATGAACGGTGAAAGAAACGCATATGGCGAATAGACACAGTTTTCACCTAAATCTCATCATATAGTTTTATCTGGCTTTTCTTTCAATCAAAACATTTCATTTAAATGAAGGAATCTACGACTTCTTTTTCGGATTATTATTAAAACTAATCTACTTACCTGGTTTTAACTGCTGTTAACTAGACACAGGCAGATAACTACAAAGACTCCTCCGGGTTGTAGTGAAGGAAAGCTAGAAGAAAGGATGAAACATCAAGAGCAAAACGAAAAAAATGTATGGTTGTTAGGGAAAGGATAAGACCAAAGTGCCAATTGAAAATTGGAGGTACCAAAATCAAATCAGTGCAGAAAGTATTTTAATAGAGGACGGAATGAGTGACACTGAAATCCAAAGGTGCATTCGGATAGCCAAAGAAGCAATCGAAAAGCTAAGAAGAGTACTAAGAAATAGGAAAATTTCGATAAAAACAAGGAAAAGATTACTAAATTGTTAAGTGTTATCTGTCCTTCTCTATGACAGTGAGTGCTGGACAATGTACTCGACATGGAAGAAGAGACTTGAAACAAAAAAACATGTGGTTCTACAGAAAGATGATGAAGATAACTTGGATTGATCATGTGAGTAACGACGAAGTTTTGGAGTAAATGGAAACAAACAGAAAACTAATACTTAACATCAAGAAGAGAGAATTGAGGTTTCTAGGGAATATAATGAAGAAGGAGGGCTTGGCAAATCTGATACTCACGTGACATATAGCGGGCAAGAGAAGCAGAGGAAGACAATATATAACATACATAATGAGCTTGAGTAAATCGATGGCAAAACCGGACTTAGAAGAAATAACAGAAAGACAAAATTTATTAAGAGCTACAACGGACAGGAAGTTGTGGAGAGCCATGATTGCATACGTCCAGAGTGGAGATGGCACATAAAAAAGAAGTACTCAAAACTTTCCCCTTTATGAACACTTAATAAATATGGACGAATGGTTTACAGTCAAGACAAAAATATATTGTGGGCAACAATTTATACAAATTGGTTTTGCCTGCCTATTTCTAAATAGCTGTCGCTCGATATTCGAACGTCTGAGGTCAGAAGTATAAGACGAAAGACAGCTAGTGCCCCTTTCGTGATGTTCTCATATCAAACCGCGAATGATTTGCGATCAGGGCCAAGAAGATGACACTGACATCTCTACATTAACGCCCCTGACGATTTCTGCCTCGCCACTAGGAATTATTTTTCAATGCCCAACCTACAAATAACATGAGCATAAACAACACATATTCTGTTGGATACAGCAATGTCTAACGATATCCTTTATATAAGATTTAGATTCATACAGTTATTTGTCCAATGGGGGTAAACTATTCTCGTTCCACAGTCCATGTCTAGGTATATCTCGTCTAATTCTTAATTTTAACACAGTTCAGTTATTACCCTCCATAAAATTAAACAAAATCCGATGGTTACACGTCAGGATTTCCACGATCATTTTCCTGTCACCAGGAATCTGTGTCACTAACGAACAATAAGCAATGAAATTCATAGGAACAATCTAAAGTCACGCTTCCCACGGAAAACTCTACTGTTATTAAAAAGGAATAGAGATGCCAGGTTGAAATTCTTTCGTGATCATAAGGATAAAGAAATTCGTATTGAGAATAAGTATTATGGACAGACGAAACAAAAGTTGAGCTTTTGTGACGTAATTATAGAAATCATGTACGGAAAAAGATGGCGATGCCTTCAAACAAAAGAACACAGTTCCAACAACGAAATTTGGCAGTGCCAGTAGCATGGTTTGGGGATGTTTTTCATCAAAACGTACTGGCAACATATCAGTAATAGATGGTAGAATGAATACCGCAGTATATCAAAATGTTTTGGAAACAAATTTAATGATTTCGGTTGAAAATCCTGTACTTCCTCCTGATTGGATCGTTCAACAAGATAATGAGCCTAAGCAAATTCTGTAAAATCTACCAATAATCGATTTGCTGAAAATAATGCAAATATTCGGAAACGGCCAAGTCAGCAACCAGATATAAACACAATCGAGAATCTGTGGCGTTATTTGGAAATTCAAATCCAATCGAACAAAGATCCCGCATCTGAATACCATATCCGAGGGAAGAAGGGAACAAAATACCAAATTAAATGTGTAAATCATTGAGAATTACAAGACTATAGTTGCTGTAAAAGGGAATAATGGCTATATTTGGGAAGCAATCTGTCTTTTATACATTTTCTTTAAAGATGACGGAAGGTTAAACTTTTTATTTCATCCTCTTGTGTTCGCACAACTGTTTTCTCATTTGAAACAAAGAGGTTATATATATATATATATATATATATTGTTATCCACAGAGTGTTTCGCTGTATTAAAGCACATCAGGGTGACTATATATATATATATATATATATATATATATATATATATATATATATATATATATATAAAGAGAGAAACGAGATAGATAGATAGATAGTTAGATAGAGAGATAGATAGAAAGTGAGAAAGACACTTGGGGGTTGAGTAACAGTCCGAATAATAATAATAATAATAATAATATATATATATATATATATATATATATATATATATATATATATATTTTGTTTGCAAAGGGATTTCACCATTTTATATCATTAACTTTACTAATCTACTTTTTGTATAAATTTTATAGATACAAATATTTAAGTAAATGCTTAGTTTATAATAAATAGTATTAACAACATTTACCGACAGAAATCGAACCTTTACGGAACAGTCATATAGCCTGACATGCTATACCATTTATATTTATATATATATATATATATATATATATATATATATATATATATATATAATGTCACTTTCTTACGTTAAGGTGCGCTTCGACTAGATATGAGCGTTCGATAGAAGCCATGGGAAATTTGTAGCTTAAAAGTGTAATTTGTCCTTGCTAACCAGCGTTTCATCTGTAGCTTATATATATATATATATATATATATATATATATATATATATATATATATATTAAATATTTAAATATTCCATCGCTACAGAGGAATTACCATGTTTCAAAAACAAAGCTAAAACTTCAAATTCAATTACATGATAATTCCTGTGTAGCGATGGATCATATTTCTAAATAAGTATTTTTATAATATTTTCTGTTGATTTATATTGAGCACTGTTTTGTAAAATAAAAATATTAATAAAAACACCGTTTACTGTTGTTTCTCTTTATTTTAATATATATATATATATATATATATATATATATATATATATATATATGTGTGTGTGTGTGTGTGTGTGTGTGTGTGTGTGTGTGTGTGTGTGTGTGTGTGTTCCTTTTCAGTTTAGGCCAACACTCGAAATCTCATTACTTTATTTTCATGTTCACTGTATTCTAAAGACAAAGCCGTTTATTTTATTCAACATGAAAGAAATTTTATGATTTTTATCTTAAATATGTTATATAACAGGAGCTGGATTTTTCTTTGGAATTCTTCAATGATTCCATGATTACTTATGATAATTTAGACTTTCTTTAATCTTATGATTTGTAGTTTTCTATCACAACACCCATCTATTAGAGCTGATAGGAAAAATAAGCATTAGTGTTACATCAAATGATGATATTAGAAAATGTAATCTATACAATATGACAGATCTGGTATTAGAGAAATCTGGTTATATTTTTATAGGGAAACGAAAAGGCTGGTGTAGGGATGCAAAGGGCGATTATCTCCTTTTGATTGATAAGAAGAGTTACGTAACTTGATGAAACATATCGACCCACGCAAGTTGTTATACATAACAACCGAAAAAACGGACAGCACAAGGCAAAAAGTAGTAGGGCATTTAGAGAAAATCGCATTGTCTCACCAGATACACTGAAACCACCCCCGGCCTGTCCGTTTTGTCGTTGGGAAATATTCCAAGTAAGACCCTCTCGTTTTTCGTCCCTTTCACACTGCATGTTGTATACATATGTTATAGTTTCTCTGTGTAAGAAAAATTAGTAACAAGTATGTATCTATCGGTAGCTTGAAGAACCATGCATGTTTGTTCTTCCTTTCTTTGAATTATTCTGCTCGGTCCGTGTATTAATGTGTTACTATATCACGTATAAACTAATGTCTATGAGGAAATGATAACTGAAACTATTATTTCTTGTATAACACCCTCATCACTGGTTATATTGCTACACTAGATTATTTCAATTAATTTCCTTTGTAGCTTATCCCCACACACAAATATATCGGATACAAACTCCGTACCTGATTCTGTCAATTAATCACGCCAGAAATCTACTTGTGTATGACTATTATGCCAAGTATTGTCGTCCATTTCTTTTCGTACAAAAATACTAGGCATAGATTCCTTTAGATATTCAGGATTTTCTTTCATTCGTTTCGAATTTATTCAGACAACAACTACATGGTAACTGCCTGATAAACCACTGAAATATTGTGCGAAATGCCATTCGCGTTATTCCTTTTTTCGTTATCGTTGAAAGACATTTGTTACTGCCATCCCTCCGTTTGGGAAAACGATAGTGCATCGCAAATCGCTACAGACATGAGCAGTGCATATATCTTCTTACAACATCGTTACCGATAGAGTTCAAAGAATCCGATAAATTATACGGTTTTGTAGTTGCGCAGCTGAAAGAGTTGCCGGAAGGTGACGCGATACATTTTCTATCCGCCTTCGGGGATCCAGTCCGGATTTGTATAAAGTTTACTCGTTAGAAGTTTTTTACATTTTGCCACAAGACAGTGGAGGTGTCAATGAGTAGGTTTCCTTCTAAAGTGGCTGCCATTCAAGGCAAGAAATCTGTCTGGCCTGCTATCCCCCCACTTTTGCTAGAGGAAGATATTATGATTATAGTTCAACTAAAATTTTTTGTGAAAGATTTATTTTTGCAATAACTTATATAGTATAGAATTATTCTTGTTTTTACAGTTTGAATTGTGGATAATCCTCAGGATATTATATTATTACATTAATCTTAGTGATTAAATTCATGAAAAGAGAAAAAACAAATTTTAATGTTAACGCGCTGCAAATTGAAATAAAAATTTA